AATGAAGATCAGAAAGACCATACCCTGGCTGAAAGTGGAATGCAAATCACAAAATTAATTATTAGAACGTGAGATTATTTGGTCACATGTTTTGAATGACACAGGTAAGAGAGAGAGCAGTAAAATTAGAGGGACTTCTGGGTATATTTGGGATATGGATACTGATGTATTCAAATATTGCTTTCGTAATCTTGTGGGTTTTGTTGTGTCTCTAAAATGAGTTCTTTAATTTAGACTTTGTAACAGCTATAATAGTGGTTGAACTGCAGTAAATATTCTGCAATAATTGTGCAACGGGATGAGGGATTGACAAACTTTAGACACTTAACTTCAACCATTTGCTTTCTCCATTTTAGAGGTTTTTATGTAATTAATCTTTCTTACAATGTCTATTCATTGTTGTCTGAGGTTAGAATTCCATTATTGGAGATTATGATGTGTGGATCAATATGGACTTCATTCTGTTTTGAAGAATTAATTCAAAGGGACAAAGTGAACAGGGGTCAATAAGTTTCTCAAATATGTATCAGGCTGCAGCGGAGGGGAATGCTTCTGTTGAGAAAGTGGGTGTGTAAATCATCCATTGATTATGCTAAGAATACAACGGAGAAATGGAAGCACTAGATTGTTCAATGACCATGTTCAAGTGCACGTGCTGACATAGGACTGTATCAAGGAGGTATCCTTCCTACTTTTATGAAGAGCTTGTCACCTAAAAGTTCTACTTTTACAACCTGCTCCTTTTTCTGCAGAATGCAATTAGAATAGGAATCTTAGTTAAATTAAGTTCTGAGATTCAATATTCAAACATTATTTACTAGTGATACCTTACAAAGAAATTCTTACTCCATTCCATTTGTCAAACAAGGGGATTGAACTAATAACAGAAATATTATCAGCAAAAGTGTCATCCTTTTAACACATACCAATTGAGTCAATTCTGCTGTTGATGTGGTTCCCTGGAAGTGCCAACTAGCCCTTGCAAGCTAAGTCCTTTTATAATTTATTACTGGATTACTTCTTACAGAGTTTTTGTTAGTTTAATATAGAGTCTCCTTCAGAGTTTTTTTAGCTTTATCTTGTCTTTGGCAGACAGTTCTAACTTCTGTTTCTACCTATTATAGTTTCCTGTTGTTGGATTTAGGAATTGGTTTCGTTGGTTATGAGAGTTCCTGATTTATCAGGGTGGTTTTTGTTTGTCCTGGAGAAGGTATCTATAAATAAGTGATTCTGGCAGTCCATTTGCAGGTTGAAAATTTTGAGGTGTTCTCTCTTTGCAGACCCTTATTTTTTAAGAGGTTGAAGGATTTTCTTGACGAGTCCTTACCTTCTTCCACAACAAACCCTTAACAAGATCTAATCTAGGGGGCTTAATAAAATTAGATTTAGGACTTTCACTATATATGGGAGTTTTGACATTAAAGCTCAGAAAGGAATTTTTGACAGACAGGAAGTAAGTGTAAAATGAGAATGACTCCTATTTAGGAGGTTGAGGTTGAACCCCTGTTTCAGATTTACGATTGTCATAGTCTTGCTTGGGAGTATTGAGTTGTTGCCTATAAAAGAGAGTTTAAACTGGCGGCGGAGTCCCAGTTTCTTTTTTCCTTTTTGAATTGTCTCTTATCTGAATAGGAGAGAGTAAACAATATTCTGAAGTCAGTGTTATGTTCTAAAAGGAAAGCAGTCTGATAAAGGATACGGTAGTTAAGCTTGTATATTCTTGTAGTAAAGCCAGCTATTCAAATTAGAGAATTTGATGGTGCCTCTTAGGTGTTCTGTCCTCTTTATCTAACACCATCAAATAAAGAATCAATTATCATAGTTTCTTTTATTTGATCCTTCAGTTCTAGAACTGGAAGGTGAAATAGTTTTGATCTTAACTACTGATAGATAATTGCTTATATTTGCACATTGGGTAAAAAACCATGTGCAAAACGCATTCAGGTGCCTGTACTTTCATTGACTACTCTTATAATGCTGGAGAGTGAAATAATGAACAATTTTCAGTACATGTGCAACTTATAATGCTCAGTGATGTCTTTTCATCAGTATAATATCCATGAATTCTTTATATAAGTCTTTGCATTAGTTCTCAATCGCTGTAAAAATTCAGGACTTACCTCAAGAGTGCAGAGCTATTCATCAACCCTCTTGTTGTTGCCTGAAATCAGAAATTAAGCATATGCTTGTACTTGTTTTATTTGAAACAATGATTTTGACATGGCTTATTTACTGTTTATTAGTAGCTTTAAGCATCATGTTTAAATTTTACATATTTGGTAATATAATAAGCAAGGTCCTAACTTTTTTTTCAGTTTCGACATAAAATGTTTATTTTGATAACATGTTCCTTATTCACTCTGACATAAAATGGATATTTTTTGTTTTAGCAACCTTAAACAACCTCTTTAACTGACAACTAGAGAGGGTTAGAAATTAGGTTGCCAAAGAAAATTACTGCATTTATTAGTTCATGTGTGAATAAAATATCCAAGATGGTTAGCAAGTAAAGAAAAGAATTGTGAAATGAAAAGAATTTGGTGGGTAAGAAATTGAAATGTTATCTTGTGTGGTATTATTTCTTCCAAGGTTTCAGAATGGAGAGCACGATGATGATTGCAATGATGAGAAGGATGATGATGGAGATGATCATGCACTTTCTTGATTTCTTCTGCAAGCTTTTAGCATGATGGAGAGCATCTGTTCCCATGTTCACGTGGTCTACTGCACTCATCACCTATAAACACCCACCACATAGATTTCAAAATCCAAGTGTAACGATTTAACATGGTATGCAGGAGACCCAATTAGATTTCTTGTTTATGCATGTTGCAATTAGTTGCTGGCATGGTTGATTAGGAGTTCATATGTGTATGTGTGTGTACATAACCTAACTTGACTCCTACCTATATGAGTGTGAAATGTGAACCTGAGATTTGTTCTCTTATGTACACATTGTATATATCTTTTTAGAGCTTGTTTTATGTGGTGTTATAATTGATGTTAATATCACTTATGGATGAATGCACAGATTTTTATTAAAAAAAAAAATAGGGGGATATATGGAGAAGTTGGTACCCAAGGGAACTAAATCACATCTAAAAAAGTATAAAGAATTAAAATTCAGAGTAAACTGCAAAGAAAATTAAATAATAGATTCTGAATTCATCACCAAATCATAATCCTTAAATATAAATGGCGAGTTGAATCTGAGTTCCTTTAGGGACAGAGGTAGGGGTAGGGGTAGGGGTAGGTGCAGGCCAATTGTGAAGCCTATACTCAATAACCAACTAACAAGAAGACCCAAAGATTTCCAAAATCCCCCATATACACATTACATATATATATGTTTGTACATATATATATATATATATATATATATTTGATGTTTAAAAAAAAAAAAGGAAAACATTGAGTCGGAATTCTCCCCCATTGAAGAGTTTCTATTTCTTTTCCCATCCAACTCAACAATCTTTGATTAGTTTAAGAGAAGATATTGGATTTTGTTTGATACATAAAAAGTCTTTTATTTTTTTTCAAATATGTTTGTTTATTTATAAAATTTTTATATGTAACATGTATTTGTAAAACAATAAAATATATTTTTATATTTATGAAATATAAATTTTAGAAAACTCAAAACTTTTTGAAATTTATAAATTCAATCGTTATTTTTATTATTTTTAACTTTGCTATATCTACATACTTTATATAAGTATGTATAAATTCAAAAACAAAAACTATCCAATCAAAAAGAAAAAACAAAACAACACAAAACAAGAACATAAATATTGTCATATAGTAAAAGGATAATTTAAGAATCATAGTTTTAAAATTTTCTTGGTGCACCCTTTTGAATCTCAATGGATGAGCTTTTTCAAAATCATTTTTTGGTTTTCCAATAATTCTGTATTAATTTAAAGATGATATTCAAGTTTGCAAATCAGAAACAAACTTCACATCATGAAACAACAAAATTCTGTCTTATGAGGTCTAACTCTTCTCCATACCCTTGAAACCACAATTCACACCACCACCCACAAACCAAAAAGCCTCACACTGAGTTCAAATAGGTATAGAAATCAATAAGGATCTCGAAAATCGAAGGAAACAACATGAAGGGGCAAAACATACTCTTGAAAAAAGGAATGTCCGAAGTTTCCACCCAAATACAACTATTTTACGTAGCTGGGTAACGGGAGGAGAAGAAGAAGACGAACGAAGAAAATAATGACTCAAGCACCGTTTTTATTCTGCCAAGGTTTGAGGACACCAACAACTACAACAGCTACTATAAGCAAGAGAATTATAATGGCAATACACATCCATTTTCTGGAATTCTTCTGAAGTTTCTTTGCATTTTGAAGTGCAGTAGTCCCTGACTGGACCTGGGTGACTGCAGTAGCGACCTGAACAAGATTTCGATTAACAAGCAAACACCAAACGAAACATATCCCGACATCCATGTGTGACTAGACCTGTCTGGAAATTTTATGTGCGGATAGAAACAAACCTGATTTTCAATGTTATCTAAAATTTCTCCTTGGGCTTCAACAAGAACCGCCATGTCAAGGTAAATCTGACAAAATATTAAGAAGTGTTAGATAAGTTCGTGCTGATTCAGAGTCCATGCTTTTATCTGTTTGGGTTATACATATATATACCTGCTGCAAGTCAAGAAGTTTTTTCTCAATATCCCTAACAGCATCATGTCTCTCTTGGATTTCTTCCAAAGTGTTTAGGACCTGCAGCAATGGCCTCTGTCAATAATAATTGATAAGAGACTGCATTGAAACCGAATATTTTTATTCCCTAACAAGGACCTAAAGATAGAGCGTTCAAGCTGCAATGAGCCTGCAACTTCATTGTGAACTCTTACATATCTCGACTTTTTTTCCTTGAAATTTATTATTATAAAAAGGATGTCAACAGTGAGACACATCATCTATTAACGTCTAGTATTAAATTTTCTAACGCAATAAGTAGCTGGAACTCAAGAGCAAAATCATTTTAAGTCAATAGGATCTTACCTGCCCCCGTCCTTGTTCTTGAATTGCCTTCTGGAAGATTTGCTCACTATTTCCAGTTTCGATTAGGTTGTCAATTGTCTGAAACAGTTGCACCATTAGAATAACAACCATCTCCATTATCTAAACTTCAAGTTCAAATTCCTCTCAGGAAGAACAAATTAAGTTCAAATTCATACTCACCTCATCGTCCGGTCTTGATCCCGTGACTGTTCAACCAGAAATCACAAAGTAAAAGAAGTATTATCAATAAAAGCTCAATCCTCTATTTAGGGAAAAAATGATCTGGAGAACAATAATCAACCATCTACATTTTGGATATTTTCTAATCTGAAGTTAAGTGTAAAAACCTGTAATGACTCTCCTCTCCACAACTTCTCGGTACTCATCTTGGATCCTTTGTCTTAATGTCTGAAATGTGATAATCGGATCAGAAATGTAAGGGGATAAAGAAAAAACTAGAAAAATCACAATAATAATCTGGAACTGGATACAAGGGCGAGTAACTAGAAAAAGAAACTCAGGCAAAAATAATTTTAACAACCAAAGGAATATTTAACCACCACACCTGAAACTCTGTCATTATATCCTTGAACTTCTTTGTCAAGGCACTGCAAGCCAAAAAAAGAACAACCTAGTGAATCTCCTTGCTAAAATCTACTATAAATTCAAATATTTGCCCTTGCAACTCACTTTGTAACATTCATCCTGGATCTGTCAATACTTGTGCCTTTCTCACATCCAGGTTTTCGTCGGTTGTCTAGATTCTGAATTAAAATGAAAACAGTAAGTAAACACATACCCTTAAACGGTTTAGCTATTCTCGCGAGATATAAAGTGAACTCTAGAAAGACCTAAAAAGGAGATTTACATCTTTGTTTACTGCTTCTAATTTTGCTTTGACACTGCGTGCAATCTTTCCTACTTCATCAATATCTTTTTCCATTCGCTTCTTGATTGCTGAAATGATTTTATAGGAATGTCAATAGTTGGTATAAGAGTATAATCACATTAACTTTACAAAAATGAATACCATGACCAAGAATTAATAGTAAATTTTCGAAACTGTCAAGAAAGACAACTTAGTGGAACAGCAGGATTCGCCCCAGTGCTCTGCAAAATTTGATCATAATTTAGTCATATAACTTCCAGACTTGATCTTGGAACCAACTTTCTTCATGTTTCAAACTCAGACTACAGATTGAATAACAGCCACTTTGCCATGCAGACTTGCAATGGGTAAATAAATAGGTAAGAAGGCGAGACTTCTACCTTTCATAGCTAATGCTTTTGTCACGGATTTTGATTCTTCATTAGCATCCTGAAGAAAGAAGTTTCCATAAGATGTTCCTTTTCTCTTAAGAAAATTTTAGCCAGCAGCAGTAGAAGTAAATAATCACTATCCTTTCCTCTTAATTAAAACGGAAACATGACCTATGAACCAGAAGCTTCTGGCAGGGTTTCATTGAGAAATAAAGTCTTAAGATAAAAGAAAATTTATATCCATTGCAGTAATTTGTAGATTCTCTATAACCTTTCAGTTCAAGAATCAGAAGTTCATTTCACAGAATCTCAGCTAGATGCTTATATATTTCACATGGAAAACTGAAATGAAAATATAATCTAAGATGAGTGTTTTACATACCTTAAGTTTTTTAAGCAACCCAGATAGCTTATCAACTTGTTTCTCAATCTCTTGTGTCTAAATTACAGGAATGAAGAGAATGAAAACCAATTAGAGGAATTCGCAAACGAAAAAAGAAAAAAGGAAAATTGTCATAGAATTATTTCTGCTCATTGAACCGAAGGCATATAAGGTACCTGCTTATTAAAAGCTTCCATCCCAATATCAGAGTTGCTCCTTGGGTCCTGCCTTCCCATTTCGATATCATTATCTCTAGGAGGCATGCCTTTGGCATCC